ATTTTCTTCCAAGTCATTTGTTTATAGCATAACTCCTTTTGACAGCAGGAGTCATAAAAGGGCTTAATATACTCATTTGCAAAAGGGCTTAACATACTTATTTCGCACAGGGTCCTACAACAAATTACACAGCCTGTCCTATCTGAAGATGTTTTTGTTGAGTATTCAAAAGCCAGGAGGAAAATGCTTTATTTTCTTCTTCTTTTTCTTCCTCAACTCCTCTCCATTTGTGCTTTCTGTGGTAACATCCCATCTTTAAGGCAGTGAGTGCAGAACAGTGTAGCTGGCAGAAATGGAGATAAGGGGAGAACGAAGGTGAAAAAAATTCATATTTGAGGAAAATTTTGGTTAGTATTCCAAATACATTTTTGTGTCTGTTGTTGTATCAGTCCATTCTCACACTGCTATAAAGAACCACCTGAGACTGGGTAATTTATGAAGAACAGAGGTTTAATTGACTCATAGTTCCACTGTACAGGAAGCATGGATGGAGAGGCCTCAGGAAACTTACAATCATGGTGCTTCGAAAGGTGAAGAGGAAGCAAACACCTTTTTTACATGGCAGAGTGGGAGAAAGAGTGAAGGGGGAAGTACTACACACTTTCAAACAAAAGATCCTGCGAGAACTCACTCACTATTATGAGAACAACAAGGGGGAAATCCACTTCCATGATCCAATCACCTCTCACTAAGTCCCACCCCCAACATTAGGGGTTGCAATTCCATGTGGCATTTGGAAGGGGACACAGAGCCAAACTATATCAGCTGTTGTTGTTTCACAGTTTTATAAATTTGCAAGTTATTGGTGAAATACAACTTCTGTCCCTCCTCATTGAAACAGTACTACCTCTGTTTGCCATCCACAGCTTCTTACATAATAGATGTCTTCCCTTCTCTACATTATTCATTCTACATGAGCTGGGTTAGGATGCTCATGTCAATGCTTTTAGACTAGCCCCATTCCAGAACCTCTTTATCGATTAGTTCATCTAGGCATTTAATGTTTCATATAGTTCAAAAGTGTTTCTGATGAAACTGCTCAAGAAACTAGATCTAGAATTAACATCTTGGATCTTACAGGCTGGTGATCTCATTAATGTAATCTTAGTCAAGGCTCTTTAGATTTCAATCAACAGAACTAATCTTACACCTCAAAAGGGAAATCATCACGAGGCAACAAGCTATTAATATATTATTTGTAAGTGTTTAGAACAAAATAATAGACTACCAATATTCCTGGAACTAACATTTTGAGGATGTCATAGTATTTGTCAGCTTACATATGATGTTAGCTTACATTCAATAATACTTACCATGAATTTGGCACTAGGTTTAGTGCTTTACACACATTTATTTATTTACCAAACAACTCTACACATGAAGTACTATTTTTATTGTTCGCATTTAGAAAAGGAAAAAATGAAGGCACAGAGTGATTAAGTAACTTGTTTGAGGTGACATTGCTGATAGATATTATAACTGACTTGAATCCAAGTGGTTTGGGTCCAGAATCTGTGCATTTAACCACCTCCAGTTGCCTCTAGTGTATTGTAGAAAGCAAGCACAGGAAATGCAAGTGGGAATAACAAGGCTTGGATCCAGGAACTTGGAAGTTGTCAGGAACCAGGGCTGTATTCTCTTGGGCTTATTTCCTCATGGCTGTGTAGTTTATTTCCTCTCACTGTTTTACTTACTTCTCTGTCTCTGCAGGTTAGCATTATCAGCTGCCTCTTGAACACAGACGAAGATGTCCACCTCTTTGTGATGACCTCAGCTCTTACCTGTACATCAAGACTATTCTGGTAAGCAATTGGGAGCTTGAGTCCTAATTTTAGATTCTCAAAAGATAAAGAGCCTGACTGGCCCATATTGTCTCAGGTATCTGTCTACTCCTTGTCTAATCAGCCATGGTGAGACAGGTAGAAACTTTGTATATCATAACCTAGGCTGGTGGGGCCAACACTGTGGGTAGAATCATTCCCAGTTAAGGGGTTATGTGGGTGAGGCATGTCAAAAATATCTCCCGCATCTACCTTTGTCAAGGTATTATGTAATGAGAAGATCATTGATGACACTAATCCTGAATAGGTACAATTTGGGGGAAAACGTGTTGAAACCTTAACCCCAATGTTACTGTTTTTGAAAATTGGGCCTTTAAGGAGGTAGTTAAGGTTAAATTAGGCCACAGTATGAAGTTCTAATTCAACATAATGGAGGTCATTGTAAGAAGAGAGAGAAACCATGTATGTGCTCATACAGGAAAAAGCCTATTTGAGGATACAGAGAAAAGATGGACATCTGCAAGCCAAAGACAGAGACCTTAAGAGAACCCAAACTTGCTGACACCTTGATCTTGGACTTACAGCCTTCAGAACTGTGAGAAATAAATTTTTGTTGTTTAAGTCACACATTCTGTGGTATTTTATCAAATCCATAGTAAACTAATACATCATGTAATCTCTGTGTGCCCCTACTTATCATGGTTTGCAAAAGGAGGATACTGCAAATGATATTCATATTAGTTCATTATGACACTGCTATAAAGAACTACCTGTGACTGGGTGATTTATAAAGGAAAGTGGTTTAATTGACTCACAGTTGTACATGGCTGGGGAAGCCTCAGGAAACTTACGATCATGGCAGAAGAGGGAGAAAACACACCTCCTTTTTTCACATGGTGGCAGTAGAAAGAAGTGGGCAAAAGCCCCTTATAAAACCATCAGATCTCCTGAGAACTCACTCACTATCATGAGAACAGCATGGAGGAACTGCCACATGATCTAATCACCCGTCACAAGGTTCCTTCTCCAACATATGGGGATTACAACTCAGATTACAATTCAAGATGAGATTTGGGTGGGGACACAGAGCCAGACCATATCAATACTCTTTGTGGATTTTTCCAAATCTAAACTCAGATGAGTCTGCTTGAGTATGGTGCTGTGTTTGTATAATGTCTGTTGGCCATACTGATTAAAAGTAATACATATCTTTGGGAGTTATGAGACAATTTTATGTAAAACCTATTTTGTTGGCTTTAACTCATTTTGTCTGTTTTGTCAAGACATAAGAGAAGATTCAGTGATGTGACTTCACTACATTTTTTTGGGATGCCACAGCTTCCCAATTGAGAGCATACCACATGATAAACAGTTGCTATAAATTTAATAATATATTTAAGCATTTATTGATCAAAATGAACTAAAATATCTGATTTTTAACCCTTTGGTCCCAGTTGTGTCCTGAGATTTTTTATTTATTTGGTTAATATCACTCTAAAAAATAAGGCCTCTAAAATTGAATCAAATTCTCTAAATATGGTTAAACCAGGGAATACAGGCTTTGGACAATCAGTTTTTATTAATGTAACTCATGATTACATTAGTTTTTTCAGTTGGCATTTCTCCTGCAGTTGATCTGATTATCACTTCTTCAGAAAGTTTCTCTTTTATGGCTTTCCATAGAAACTTATGCAGTATTCTATTACACAGAGATTTGTAATCATTTATTAGCCTTTTTCTCTCACGTGGTTCTGAACAATTTGAAAGCAAGATCTATGTTGTTTATTTCCTTATTATCATACTGCACCTTTAGTGTCTAAAACAATGTCTGGATCCTAAGAAATATCCAGCATACATTTGCTGAATTATATGAATGAATTGTTTTGAAAGTTAAAATGTTAACAAAGAGTTATGCTTCTACATGCATATGGGCAATATTATGGCTGTTCTGAATTATCTTAAACTCTGTGTCCAGTGGAATGTATTCTTGAGGAACAATTTCAAGGAAGCAGCTTGAAGACAGTTGCAAATGCATAGAAGGTTTTTAGAATTATTTTATGTTCAAACCAATGAGATAGTTTTATGTTTCAGTGTTGGCCAGAAAAGATATTTGAATAATTCTACTATATCAACTTTATGTGCTAATTATTTATGACTCTGCCTGTGTGTGTGTGTGGGGGGGGCGGGAGTGGGATAAGGAGGGAGGGAAGGAGAGAAAGGGAGAGAGAGAGACAGTGAGAGAGAGATGAACAGAGAAGGGCAAGTGAGGAAAGGGTGAGAAGAAAGATAAGCATTTAAAAAGGTTAGGTCCCTTTGAATGGCCAATAGAAGGGACCAACTGGGAAATGGATTTTAGAGTACAAAATTGTTAGATTAGGGAACCCTTGTTATTTAACATGATCTAACTCTTCTTCACGTAACCAGGGAAGCTTTGGCAGATCAGATAATATTTGATTTTAGCCTCAAAGAAGGAAGGGGAAGTGGTCTTTTTGGCAGAGAAGAAAAGGGCAATTCGCATGACTAATTTGTTACTTCTTAGCTTTTCCAAAGTTCAGTTTTTTATTGAGGTTTTCATTCTCTTCGTGACTGAAACCAACTCCCCTGAGTACAAAACATTTCTTTGATGTTCTAAAGTGAGGAGATGACACCTAGACTGAAGTAGCAGCAGTCAATAGCTGACAGCCTCACATCTACTTTTGTTGTGCCCTGAATGAGCCATACGCTTTTAGGCAAGTCCCTTACTCTTTCAACGCCAAACAGGTTGGACCACATAATCTTCTCTGCTCCCTTCCGGTTACAAGAATTTGTGAGTCTTTGGAACAATATGCTGGACCCTGGTATTAAGGGGATTTTTACCTTTCAGTGCTAGAAATTGTCCTTCCCTGTCCCCCCACCGCTCCCTTGCCCTTTTTCTACCCCTTCCCCAACTTACCGTAGTCCTGGGGGACTCTTTTTGTCCCCCAAGGAGTAAAATTACAGTCAAGGGTAAGGAAGTATTTTTATTCACTTTCTATCTGGAGTTTGCCTCCTACAGGGGAGGCTGGTCCTTTAAAAAAAAACATAGAGCAGGGCAAGAGGGCGCGGTCGAGGGATCAGGCTTTTTCCGGGAAAGTTACCCGAAGGCCAGCCATATGGCATCCTGGGATTTGCAGTTTTTTTCCGGGACGCTCTCCCTTGGTAACTCCTTGATCGTGAAGCCGAGGTGGACTACAACTCCCAGAGGGCAAAGTGGCGGCAGCGGGGTCCAGTACTCTCGTTGTGGCTGGGCGGCTAGTTCAAGTTGCCATAGCTGCCAGTCTGGGGAGAGCAGAGTCGGTTGAGTCGCAGCGTTTGGTCAGTTGCACCTTCTGGGTCGCTGGTAGCCGCGGGAGCCGGGTGGGGCCTAGGCGATGATCCGGCATTAACGAGCTGGGGTCATCCTCCGTGTCAGGTACCTGCCCCCACCTCCCGTTTTCCCTTTTTCGACCACTTCCCCATCTTACTGTGGACGTTTTAGTCCCACTTCCCCTCGTCCCAGGGGTGGGGACCTCGGAGCGGCGCGGGATCTGGGGTGGGGCCGTGGATGGGTGGAGTGTGTGCAGAGGTGAGGGCAGATGGCGCGCCCGTTCTCCCGAGGCCTCCCTCTGTCTGCAGGAGTGTCAGCGGTCAGGTCCTGGCCAGATTATCCAGAGAATCTGGGCTACATTGATTGTCCTTCCTTTTGGGGCACCTTGCTCCACCGCTAGCACCTGTGAAGCTTTAAGGGCCAGGAGATTGGTCTCATTCGGTAGGTCCTCCAGAGAACCGTCTGACATTTCCTTGCCTGTCCTGTAGAACTTGATATATATGTATATATATAAAATACCTGTTCTGTAGTCACTGAAAGCTTGCTACTCTTTGGAACGCTTGACCCCTCTTTCTATGCCATTATGGGAGTTGCCCCAGCCTTACCTGTTAGCGGCCCCTTAATTGAATTGTTTCGTAAAATGACCTGACATTGAATCCCAGCTGCATCTTCTTGGTTTGATGGAGCCAATCTGTTATGTAGGCGTCTGGTAAAACTCGACCATTAGTTGCAGCGTTGAGTATTAGTAAAATATCTAGCACAGTGCGTGGCAGCATTTGTTCTTTATTTTTTGTTAATTATGCAGAGTAGTGTTATCTAATACAGTGTGAGCCACACAGGTGAATTTAAATTTTGTAGTACCCACATTAAAAAAGTAAAAAGAATCTGGTGAAATTAATTGTAATAGTTTATTTAGCACAATATAGAAAAATGTTTTCAATGAAGTAAATATAAAACTTATTGAGATTTTTACTTGTTTTTGAGTCAGAGTTGGTTTTGCTGCCCAAGCTGAACTGCAGTGGCGTGATTAGGGCTCACTGCAACCTCCACCTCCTGGGTTCAAGCAATTCTCCTTCCTTAGCCTACCGAGTAGCTGAGAATTAGAGGCACCTGCCACCATGCCTGGCTATACATTAAAAAATATATATATTTTAAGTCTTCAAAGTCTACTGTGTATTTTACATGTGTAGTACATGTCAGTTTGACCTGGCCAGAGCTAGAGCTCAGTAGCCATGTGTCTAGTGACTGATGTACTGGTCAGCACAGATGAGTTTAAAGCTTTGACAGTTTCACATTGGCACACATAAATTTGGTTGTGCCTATGACTCATTTCAGGGGTGATGGTGGCTGTTTTGTTAGAAGAGTGAAGTGTGCACTGTACCTATATTCTCTCAGCATATCTTGTCTGCCATTTCAGAACCTAGGTCTCTGAGCTGTTTCTTGACAGTTTATCTTGATTTCTTGATTAACTTTTTCAAAATATTTTTTTTTCTTTCTCCAAATAGTGTACAGATGTAATCCCAGATGTACCTTTTATGTAGACAAATCCCAGTTCTCTGGATCACTTCCTGTGGATTCCTACAGATTGCTTTGAAAGCAGTCACAAATAATTGAAAATATTTCTGTCCACAGCTCTTTCCTACAACCGAAGGCATTTTACTCTTCTTTATTTAATTGTAGCACTGAGTATATAGGAAGCTTATAAAATATTTCCTTTAGCAGTGTTAAGCTGGCTTAGAAGTACAATTGAGTCACCATATTCAGAAGTAACATGTTAATTTTATTACCTTAGTTACTGACTGATAGACATGCTCATGCTTAGTACTTTTGGCCAGACTTGGGCTGCGGTTCACACTGGAGCATGGTCTGGCAAGCCTCAGGGATGACCAGGCATGGATGGAAGTCACCAGTGACATTATGTTGGCTGGGTACTTGGATGTGAAGAATTGTAGTGAGGTCACTTGGGCTTTTGAATGATTCTAGGAACATTTTCTCTGTTCTGTGTTATGCCATAATATGTACATAGGGACCTAATTTTCATATTTCAGAATTTAAAAATGTTTAAAGTTATAGGTGTGTCTTACCCCCTTGTTTCGTTTATTTGTAGGTGGCTTGGGGAAAGTGTAGAAGCAACCAAAGATCATCTGCTTGACGAGGCCCTTTGCCCTGAACCTCATGAAGAAATGATAGGAGACAGACATATGTGCCTAAGAAGAGCGTTGAGCTCAGAGAAGAGCAACTTGGAGTTTTGGGGGTGTGCTTTGTAAGTATGCATTCTCCCTGAGTTTCTGAGATAACACGTCTTTTTTGCATACTTACGGTGGAAAAGACTTTGCCAACAAATAGAGTTTTGGGAGCAAGAAGCCCCTTTCTAATATATAGTATAAAAATAAAATAGAATGGTTGTGTATGCAATGTTACAAAAATTCAGATGAACAAAGTAGGTAAGTTGAGATATCCTTTATAACTTTAACAGAAGCAATAGTGATGCACCTGTTTCTATTAAGCGAGGAATTGAGAACCTATTTTGTCTCGGGCACTCCTTTTACCGACCTTATATAATTCCTTTCTCACACTTATCTTTTACAAAGGAGGCCGTTGAGTTTCAGGTGATTTGAATTGTTTGGGATTCTGGAGCTAAAAGAATGGTTTTTCTTCCCAGGTCTTCTGACTCTAAATTTCAGTCTCACCCACTGCCAAGGGGCTTCATTGCTGTTTATAACTGCCCTTTAATAGAATTTGATTCACACTCGGTATTTTTGGATAAAGGGTACCATATATGGCACAGTGTGCAGTTATTCATCTCTTCCAATGTTCAAAAAGTTCTATTATCTTAGTTTTTTAAAAAATATAATGGTCTTTATGTTATTATTGAGGCAAGAGATTATTATAATTTGTGATTTCCATAAATAAATTCCACATGAATTGTCATTGATAATCAAGGGTGTAGTGTTAAAAGTTTAAATTTACAACATAGATATAAAAATTTTGGACGTTTTTTAGGATTTCATATTTTGCTTCAGTAGATAAAAGGCTCTGAAACGTAGAGGAGACTCACTGTGGCCTTGCAATAATAACACTCTATATAAGATCAGTGGTGTGCAACATTTATAGGATTAGGCCAGGTGCCGTGACTCATCCCTGTAATCCCACAGTATGGGAGGCCAAGGCAGGAGGATTGCTTGAGCCCAGGAGTTTGAGGACACCTT